GCCCAATGAAGTTGTGGATGTCCCCTCCCTGGAAGTGTTCAAGGCCAGGAGCAACCTGGTCTAGTGAAAGGTGTCCTTGCCCATGGCAGGGGATTGGAATGAGATGAGCTTTAAGGTTTCTTCCAACCCACACCATTCTGGGATTCTCTATTTCCCACAACATTGTAGGGCATTTTATAAAGACAGACTTTCTTCTACATCCCTACATGATTAAGTGTAATGAAAGATAAATGAGCAACAAACACATTTCAACTGGCAACAATTTGAGAAATATCCATATGATAAAATATCCATAGAGGAAGACTTTACCAGGGATTTGCAGGCATGAGAATCAGAGTTTTGGATCTACATTTTTTCCAACTGCATTTAGCAACTTACTTGTTTCAGAAATGGTAAACAAACAATGGCAGAATGACTTGTTAACAAAAGATTAAGTTGTAAAGGGGAAAATGCAGGAAGCGGGGAGGAGATGGACATGAAAAGAGGACAGTTACACACAAGTGAGAGCTATGAGAGTTACAATCTGAAATCTGTAAATATAGCAATGGGTCTGGAGTTCTCTCTGGGCCACTGGAAAATCCAGAAGCATTACTCATTCACTTAATCAAAGGAAAGGCCTCAGAGAACGGCACCAAGACACTTTTTATAAAAACAAGTTATTCATCCCAGAGCACACTCACATTGCGGGAAGCGAGGATCTGCTTGAGCAGCCTGTAGAAGTACTGCTGCTGGGCACTCAGGTAGCGCTTGTACTGCGACTTGTAACAGAGCTGCCGGTACTTCACCACCTCAGGATTGAAGTGCCCATCTGTAACAAAGACAAAACACACACCTGGGTTTTCAGCTGCTAGCTGTGAACTCACCCCAAACCTGCAGGGAAGCTCATGAGGCTGACTGACCCCGGAAGAGTTTCTGGGCAATGTGCAGTGGGTTCCCAAATCGAAAGTTCTCCCCACTGAACAGTGCTGAGATGAGCTTGTTCTGATGCTCTCGGTTGTTCTCAGGGAAGTGAGGCAGGAATTTTTTTAGGTGGTCTTGCTGCTCATCTGTCAGGACCTCCTGCCACGTTGACAAGCTGACAACCTCAAAGAAGATCTCAGGCTAAAGAAAGCAATAAACAACAGTAAAGAAAATGCAGCCACGTCTTTGACCATTTTCTAGCCCTTGATGCTTTTTAAGTAACTCCAGCCATGAGACAGTATTTTATGAAACACAGGAAACAACAGAGCATAAAAAGGAAAGGTCAAGAAATCGATACTACTAACAAGAAAATAAATTCAAAGCTTGTAACAATCTTCTTAAAGGCAATTTAAAAACAATAAGAATGTAACAAAACTGATTTAAAAGACATTGTCCTGTAATCAAAGACATTTTTGACACTTTTTCCAAGGCAGTCAGAAACGCCTCCTCTTTTCAGTTTGCTCTGTAAGCCCCAAAAGGAAGTTAAACACATCATTTATATAGAGGTTATGATAAGGTGAGGTGTCTCAGCACTACTCACATCCTCCAGGAGGTCCTCGGGCAGACTGACCCGTGTGGTGCCCAGCATGCAGTCCTCCATGATCCGTGCACAACTGCCCTCCAGCTCCAGGGGGTCTGTGAGCATGTGATCCAGGGAATCCATCCTCCGCCTCTCCTGCTCCTGGACAACGACAGCAAAACCCTCAACAAACAGAAATCCCAATCCCAGATACATCCATCCTGATGTAAGGAGTGATGGATGAGCCACCTTTGATGGGTGGTTGTTTAAACAGAAGCTATAGAGTTGGCCTGCAATATCTCTATACATGCATAGCAAGGTTGTGCATATATACATGTATGTACGTATATATATATACACACATAAGTACACACACACACACGTATATATATATTTATATACATCTATGTAGAAAGTACATATATAGATCTATAGAAACATTTACTCTTCAATTACAACACAATGGAGAAGTGCTTTTCCAGGCAGGTAGACTGGGAAGTACAGCTGACCCATCTCACTTTCCTTCCCACCTGCAGGAACTGTTCTCAACACTGCTAAACACCAGGACAGACTACATATAAATCCTGAAAGCGGTTTAAATGCGCAGAACCGAAGGTCAGGTCTAAGGTGGGGTTTGTCTAAGGCTGAAGGTGTGACAGGGCCAGGAGCCCCGTCCCCTCCGGCACGACACAGCCAGGCCTTCTGAGCTGCAAAGAAACCCATGAAACACGCAAAATAAAGGAAAGGGCGATAAAAAAACCTCTAAAAAACGGGTGGAACAGCGAAGAAAACAGATTTATTTCATACCCCTCACGCGGCCCGGCCGAAGGCGGAAGGCGGCGGCGCTGCCGCGCCTGCGCGAACGCCCCACCGCACTGCGCCTGCGCACGGCCCCGAGTCGCGACAGGCCGCGATAGCGCAGTTGCAGGGCGTTTAAGTGCCCCTAAAAATGCGGTAATTATGAAATGCTGAAGCCGCCTATCAGTCGCAGATTTATAGGGCTTGACTGCAGCCCGGTTCAGTGGATTAGTCATTGAGATGATATGTTAATATAACAGTGAAGTGTTGAAAAGGCTGAAGATTTTAAATTTTAATGCAGCAAATTTTAATACAGCAAATAGAGGTTCTTCCTGGGTCTCCACGCCTTTACCCACTGCCAACCCCCTCCAAGGACTCACATTAACGGCTTCCAGAATAACAGTAATTCAATAAAATCTTGACAGGTTAAGGTTCAGGATTGCAGGTGACAGTACCTGACAGCAAAAACGTGTTTAAAGCAATGTACAATCTCTAATCCGTGACAAAACCTGGCCCACGGTAAATCACAGAGTGTAGATCTTACTCAATGAGCAAGAGACAGATTCAGCGCAGAAGTTACGGTGGACTCTTCTCTAACTTCTCCCTGTTTTTAACTTGTTCAAATACTTCTTTACATTGAGGTGGAGCTTGAGTGGCTTGAGTCACACATCTTAGTGAGCGATGGTCATACCTTGGGAGTGGATATGTCAGAATAGTACCTGAGGTAACCCTGGGATGGGGACATGAGTCAAAACCTAGAGGGATTCTGTCATGGTTTGTTGATCCAATGGCCATCATCCTTATCTCCCTCAGTTTTCAGATGATGTGCAGCTAATCAGCTAGAAAGTGCTACCTTTTAAATTGAAAAATAGTTTTGAAAATTTCTTACTTTGCAAGGCCTGTTTGTTTCAACAGAAACACAGGGGCTCCACTCCACTCTCCACTTACTCTCCCTTGGACAGTGTTGTGGGAGGTCAGAAATTCTTTGTTCCATCCAGAGAGTAGCAAATGTATTTTTCCCTGTAACTTCTCTACTGTTATCATCCCATTTATCCACAGCCCGCTTCACTCACCCTCCAATGCACTGACCACCTTACCTCAATGAACAGATTGATCATCATGAGTGATTAAAAAAAAAAAAAAAGAAAAGAAAAAAAAAAGAGAAACATATTTATTCTTTTCAGGTTGGTTTGGTTTGTTTGGTTTTTTTTACACCTGCCAGGTTGCACGAGACTCTGAACACAACAACAGTCACCAAATGTACAATAAACATACAGTTAAGTAATAGGTGTGGCCCAAGCAGTCCAAGAGATGCAAGATCAGGTTGCGCAGGCTGGGGTTGGTTTTTTTTTTCCTCCAGGAAAATACAGAATCTGACCCAAAATGCCTCCAAGGGACAGCATCTCCAAACAAAACACAGACCGTGCAGGCAACTGAGAGGACTCTGGATTTACACTTCTGTGGGACATAACTTAGATCTTTGGATTGCTCTGGTTTAAATACAATAATACATCCTGTACCTTCTGCACTGCAGAAGTGGAGAAAAAAAATCCGTGCAACCTTTGCCATCTGTGCAATCACTGTAGCTCCTTATTTTGGAAGGAAAATCTGTGGTACTTCCATTTCCAGGCATGCTTCTTTCGCAGGCAATTCATTCAACTTGGGACACCAGGAATTACTTCACCTGGAATCAGGCCAATAGCCCGAGTGTGCTGCCGCTGGAGTGCAGAGAAACTTTGATGAGGAATATTTGAGTTCAAAAAGGGTGTTTTAAAATGGTTTTCTGTTTTAAATAGTTTTCAGTTTTAAATAACTGGTACAACTGTCCTCATTCATGAGGACAACAAAGGTGAATAGAGAAAAATAGTTTTTAAATCCCACGTCTGCAGCATCATTAATGGGAACATATTTGATGTTCAGCTACTGTCAAACTTTTAAGAGTCTTAATTACTCCTTCAGGGCACGATCCCAAGTATTCCCTGTCTCCCATTTCCAAGTCTGCTATTTTCCTACTACTTGTAGCATTTCTGGCTTGTTATTAAATCAGCAGCAGCCTGAAGAAAGCCAAGACAAAATTCTCCCTACTCTCTTCCCACATGAACAACATTGCAAGGCGAAACACTGTAATTCTAAAGTCCTCAGCAACATGAATTCAGATTACTTACTGGGCACTGTGGTTGCTTGCCCACACTGCCACAGTGGCTGGGCTGCCAAATCCACAGAATTTAAGGTCACTCATTGCACTTGACCAAATGGAAGCTCTGGTCCATGTTAATTCTACCTGGTTCATTAGTGCTGCAAAATGGTGGTACAGCAAGAGAAGAGAAAGCCCAGGAACAAAGTAATCCATATTTTAGCAAGTCACTTCAAAGTGACCTCAGAACAGTTCTGAGCTGGCCAGTATTTGCCAACTGATTTATCTCAATACTATTTCCATGCCACATTATCCACAGCCCACTTAGATACATTAATTACCAAAGCAATACCTGCTACAAGGCTTTGCCCACAAGGAACAACATTTGCTCTTGTGCAGCCTGAGTGTGGAGTTCTCTCTCATGTCAAAGAGCTTTAACTCCATAAAACCTGATATTGCAATATGTAGTGCCTAATAACATGGGTAATCCACACCTGAATCCATGGGAATACCTATGGAAGAGTCCCACATTCACACTCAGTGCAGTACAAGAAGAGAACAAATCAAAAAAACGAGACTCTCAAGTTCTTATGTCTCAAGGGCCTTTAAGACACAGCACACTTCTTTGCATTTGTTTTATAAATAAATGTATCCTGTTATGCACAGATGTTGTGGGATGAGTTTTACAGCAATGAATGGAAATTCAGACATACATGGTATATCCCATCAGGAGTCAATGGAGTTCTAGTCATGTTCTTGAAACCACCAGAATGCCTTGAACAACCAACCAAGACAACCTGTGAAGGAGAACCATGTAAGGAAAAACATATTACATGGCCTTAAAAGATAAACCTTCTCTTTCCCTTTCTCCTGGTCCCTAAATGCAACATGAATTCTGTATGCAGACCAGGTCCATCACACCAGGCAACCCTCATAGATAGCTTTCCATGTCCCATAAATAGTGGTCCACTAGTATGTTTCTTGTGTGTATCCTGAGTCCAGGGCTATTTGTTTTCTGGAACTGTCCAAAGGAATTACAGTGCATTGTTAACAAGGTTATTTGGAAAAAAAAAAATCAAAGTAACCAACTCTCCATCCAGTTTTGAAGAGGAGAAATATGTTTACTTTGAGGTGGCCACAGAGATAACGACCTCTTTCCTTCAGCGGAGTGCTGTGTATCCTCGTTTTTTCCTGGCACAACTATTTTAGATCACAGCAGAAGCTGCTGTGCAGGTTTAGCTGAGCCTTTTTTTTTTCTTTGTTTACAGGCAAAAAAACAATTTTCCCGGCAAACACTGGAGGGAAAAGAAGTAACGGTGGCTCTGTACTACCCCTTAGGTGCTCCTGGCATTTCAATCAGTTTGTTCCAAACAACATGGATTTAAGACTGTGCTTTTCCTGCTTTCTGGAACTGCTGGGTAAAACACGGCAGGGCAGACAGCATGTAAACAGTTCTGGAGGGCTGGAAAAATAATAATTTAATAGACTGCTTCGGCACATCTTCACAGCTTCATTGTTCAATCCAATCCCCATATGGGGACACCAGGAGCCACTGGTTGGCTGCTGCTGCTCCTTTCTGCAGGCATTCTGCTCATATGGCACAGGGATACTCCCTTTCACCTTGGCTGCTAGAAGCCACAGGAAGCAGTTCTGCCATATTCTAGTAATTTATATTATGTTCTCCTGTTTAATGGTTCCTGTTAAAAATATACATATGACAATCTGCCAGGAAGCCTTCAGTTAGGCAAGCTTTTTCCCATACAGTTGAAATAAAATTGTCTTCTGGACGCGCTTACATAAAGGAAAAATAAGGGTCAGCAGACATGCCAAAAATAAAGTCCAGGGCCAGCAGAGGTTTCATTTCTCTTGTCCTTTTTCTTAAAAGCTGCATTAAAAGCATCCCAGAAGGATTTTGAGGGTATTTCATGGTCACAGTGAACCCTCTTAAAGCATTAACAAGAGCTCCAAGATTTTAGTGGAAGGTGAGCATATATATTAACATATAGAGCCCCAGGGTACCCTCACATCTGGGCTTTCAGGGAGGGGACAAGGACAAGGACAATGGTACCATGGTACTCTTGGTACCAATGGTACTCTTTCACTCATGCTCTGCTGAGAAAGTCCTGGGTTTCGAGATGTGCACTTCGCTCCCGCCACTCCCATTGGTGGTGGTCGTGATGATGTACTGGGTGGTTTGCTGCTGGTTGCTTGTCTGGGATTCCAAGGGATCCGTGTGGGCTGTGGGCTGGGAAATGCCCACCTGAACCTCGCTGGAGAGTGAAGAGTTTTGTTTACCATCCAAATCAGGCTGACCTTCAGATATCACATAGTGAGTCTGCATGGGGAATATAGAAAATAATTAATAATCATTCTATCTTCTGTAATTTCTCTGTTCTAACTCATTTTGGTTTGAGCAAGGAACTTAGTAAACTAAGCTCTGTTTCATTTAAATGTATTTGAGAGTAACATAATGCCTGTCTTTTGATTCAAAGGACACTGGACTTGGCTTTTGGTTAATTTACAAATGGTTAAACATTACACAATTAGACCATCACTACATATTAAAATAGCAATTTTCAATTCAACTATTCAGAAAGATTTTTCCTGTATTGCACATGTTCTAGCAGAAGCTGCACTCCCAGTGACCAAGATCAACACAGACCAATGACCTGTCTCCTCATGCTTGATTGCTTACAAGGAATAGCAGGAACTCTTCTTATTTTCTAATCTTACAGATAACAGCTACTGAAATGTTTCCAGGAGCTGTTCTGAAATTTGGTTTAATAGATACTGCTTAATCATAAATATTTTTAAGACTAAGCACTAAATAATTTTGTTCTACCAATGTGATTAAGTGAAGATTTTAAACTAAAAGGAATCATACATAAAAGAGCCAGACAGCATGAGCCTTGTAAATGGTTACACACAGACTATACTGTGCAGCCTGCACCTCTTTAGTTACCTCCACTCTGTGCCCCAGTCGTGATTTTGGCATTCTTTAAACCTTCAAGCTGAAGAGCTTTATGCCTGATAATATTCTGTATGAAAAAAAGGCCACGATGGTCTTCCTTACCTGAGTAACTGCTTTCACTTGTCCTGCATTAACACTGGTGACAGGGGTACCCACAGCAGTCTCTGTGATCACGTACTGCCCTTGTGGGATGGTCATCATCTGAATCTCTGATGCTAAAAAATTGCACATTGGATAATCAAGACCTCCAGTCAAACTCAAAGACAACCTCCAAAAATCACTTTAAATTCTGAAACAGTGGGTATTGAATAGAAATTCAGGTGATATAAGGCTTTGTAGAACCCTACAGCCTTAGCAGAATTATGCCTGATAACACCAGCTGGAGATTTGGCAATTCATGCAGAGAAAACACATCCTGTTCTCACTCTAAGCATCACAGAATTACGATCCAGAACTGCATGGACATGAGAAATCATCTTCATGTCACACTCCTCTTCCACACAATTCTTTCAAGCATGTATCCAAATTTGAACAAGTAGCTGTCTAACACATGGATTCTTTCTGTGTGCAAGTTCCTTGGAATAAAGGAGCCCAGTGTGCTTGTCCAAACCATGCACTGGATCAGTAAGGGTGGTAGTGGAAGAGCTGGTAGACCCATTTACATTTGTCTGAAGCTTTATCTTCTTGATATCTATGAATATTAACCACAAAGCTGAATGAATTCTGAAAACACTGACCCATTTGATAGCTGAAGACATAGGGTATGTGTTAGTCAGACACACTTGCCAGACAAGTAGTTAGAGCTACTGCTGACACTTACAGTAGCTCCGAAATGAATTCCAGTTGCTGGGGAGATATGTGTGCTGGACTGAGGAGCCTTGCTGCTGCTGGAGGGCTTGGTTTGGTGTAGATGTAGTTGTCTGCATCTGTGAGGGACTGAGTTCCTGCTGAGGTTGTTGCGAGGAAGGACTCAAAGGCTGACCCCCAACCTAGAGAAAAAAAAAGGTGCAAGTGTTCTTGGTGTAGTAAGAATTGTACAGCTCTGTTCCGTCACAACTACAACCTTCTCATTAAGCAAAAACACAGGATGGGTTCCAGAGCATATTAAGCACAAGAACTCTCCTCTCTTTCCTCCAGCTTGCTTCAGTCTATGGTCAATAAGCTCAGACCAGGAAACTGAAATAGTGATATTGCTGCTTGCCAAAGTGAGTCTGTGGCAGAGACTAGAGGTTAGAGGCTAAATTCTACCCAAGAGCATGAAGAGTTGCACTTCAAATATTTGAGGAATACCAGTTTCCATTTATATCTTCCAACTGACAAACTCCATTTAGCTGCAAATGTGTCTGTTTCCAATCATTTTTCTCTCCTTTGTACATACTGTTGGAGTTAAAAAAAACCCACACCAAAATCCCCACAAAACAAATACCCAAATAAACCCACAACAAAACACCCCCATATACCCTGAGACACCTGGGCACCGCTTGATGATCTCAATGTGAGAATCATTTCATGTATGGTCCTTTAAATGGCAAAGAAAACACTATTCCCTGCATTAGCACATGCAATATGCCAGCTGAGCAGCCTGGTAGGGAAAGCATTTTCTGAAGAGAAGAGGGAAATACCTGTGATGATGACTGAGTTGCTGGTGATGGCTCTGTGACCTGGATGTGCTGTACCTGGATGGCATGTTGGGTGTATGTCTGGGGGTCATGGAGCTGCCCAACATCCACTGTGGAGTGCTGGGACTGATGAGGTGAGGTAGCCTGGGGAAAAAATTAAGCAGAGGTCTATATGTCAAATTATTTACAAAAGCAGCCATGTCAACGTTGTCTGAGACACAAGGCCTGGAATAATGAAGTAGGAGCCTTAGTGGAGCACACTTGTTGAATCTTGCTGAGTTTCTTTGCACCCTGGGAGATAAAGTACACTTAATAGATAGAACCATCTCTGTGCCATTACATCTCAGTGATGCCAATGGAAAGGACTTGCCTAACATCATACAAAGCTGTGTGTCACACTGCACATTCTGGCAGTGGCTGGACTAAACCAAAGGGTTTGAAAGACAGGATTAATGTTAATCACTTCTCTGTAAGCATTTTTCTGTACAATGATACTCGAGATCTGCGTATCCAGTTCTGTAGTTTGATACAGCTCTGCATCAAGACAAGTGCTCAGAGGTTTTTAAAGATTTTTTTGAGCAACACTTGCTAATGATATCAATTGTAGTAATTGAATTACAAGTCTTGGATATTTATAAAATTAAGATCTTGCTAATATTACCTCCAGCAATCAGTGTTCATGTTCTTCTATCATTACAACACTACAGTCACTATCAACTGGGGCCATTGTTTAGGCCTTTATTAACCAAATTCATAACCTGATTTGTAATGAGGGGCCAGAGAGAACATGGAATTTCAGATTAAAATATAAACATGTGGTAGTTTCAGCTTCCTCCAGTGAGTAACAGATTTCCTACAGCCGCCTGAGATATTTTCCTCTGACCAGTTACTCTAGTTACACTCTGTTTTGATTTTTAGGAGGCTGTTGAGCATCAAGAAAATGAATATTCTAATAGATGCTAAGAAAGGAACAAGCAACCCCACTCTCTGTACTCCCAAATTTTGGCTCTGAGTCACTGAGGACAAGGCAGTATAAATCAGTCCTGAACTGCAGAAAATGGGTCACCCACTGACCCACCTTTCCAGTTACTGGAAAACATTCCTAGAACAGACTTGAGCAAGGCTGCCCAAATGGGTAAAACTAAGTCAGTACTGTACTGATGTGTCTCCAGCAAGCTGACCAAGGCTGGCAGGACTATTTATGCCTGGTACAAGTGCTTATGAAGGGAACCCTATGTCTTATCAGTTGATTTATCTGTAAAAAGTAGCGGCAGCACTTTTTGTAACTATTCCTTACCACTCTTCTGTGCACTAGAGCCACAAGAACACACAGGCTTGGTAGAGAAGGGGTCAAAACACAGCAAGGTTACTCACCTGGGCCACTTGAACAACCTGCAGCTGTATGTGCTGTGGCTGCTGCAAGCCAGTTGTGGATTGAGACACAGGGATGTACTGGATGCGCTGGTAATCTCCTTGGGGAGTCCGGTAATCTGTAGTGAGGGTCTGGGATATCTCCGTCATTGCTTGGGTCAGTAAATCTGTTGTCTGAGCAGGGAGAGAGAGATAGAGATCATCATCATATTCATGTACTTCTTCAGGGCTGTAGTTCTTTTATCTACACTTATGGTGGATCTGGTCATTTATTTACAAGAGCTTAATGTGTACAGATGTTGGGGTCATAAATAGTCACCAGGGATCATCAACTAGAATTGCTCTCTTCTGTCTAAATCCTAGTCAGGACTATTAGCAGCTAACAACATATCATAGTAAAAATAATTATTTTCATCTCATGGCATACCAGTATTCCGTTAAACAACAAGAGTCCTGTATTTGTGAAGAGCTGACTTGGTTTCCAAGTCAAGAAGTGGTTCATGAACATACTCCACCTTTCTTCATCCCCTGTCAGAGTGACAACTGTAATTTTAATGTGTAAAGACATTTAGTACATAACTTAATTGCGTTTAATGAAGCCAACAGCATCCTGATTGAACCTCTCCATTTTCAAGCACAACATTCTTTCATCCAGTTAGTCTTTAGACAGGAAGTTTTAAACTGTGAACAATAGTACTTTTAAAACTACATGGTATCCCTCAACACTGAAGGACACATTTTCTAGTCTTAGCTTTCACTACTGTGGCAGCTGATATATTAACTTAACAGTAGAGAGGTCAGCCACTGGAGATTCATCTTGCTCAGTGCTGTGCTGTTCAAAGGATTACAAAAAGATCTGACTCCCTGAACACAGTTTGATCCAGTCCCCAGTCACTGCTAAACTTGTCCTCTTGATGTCAGGAACTGCATCTCACTTCAGGAGAAAATTCCCAGTGAAAATCCATGAGATGTGTACCCCTTAGTCCATTATCTGGAGTCAGTAGGTCTGAATGAAAGAAAGAAATGGATTTGAGGATAAAAAACAAATCCTTAAAGCTCCAGAAAGAAATGAACAGCTCCTGACAGTGCAAAACTGTACTCAAAACCAGAAGTGATCTCAAATAATGTCTTAATACAAGTTTAAAAGTGATGTCTGCCAAAAAAAAAACAGGGTTACTAATACCAGAAGGCTCTTGTTCTGTGTGTTTCCTTGCACTGCCCTTGTGTGCCTTCAGCCCTTACCACAACAGTTTCTCCAGTTGTGCTGTCAGTGGTGAGAACAGCTGGTGCGGAACTGATGACGGCTGTTGCCAGTGGTGTATGGATTGTGTTCGGCAGCTGAGCAAACTCCGGGTGCTTCTTGCGGATGTGCTGCACCATCTTTGTCTGCAGAGAGAAGCAAAGGAGTGTTGAAAGAATAGTCAGTAACTCTGCTCAGGGCCATGTGAAATCCAAGAGCCTGACAAAACACGGCTTTTAGGTTTCCCTCAGTAAAGCATCAAGATCCACATTATGAGCTCCTCTGGTCAACAAAGTTGAAAACAAGGTTCACAAACCTGCCGCTGATTAGAGGTGACACTGAAGTATTGTCTTCAACAGTTTTTTACCCCAACACAGCCAAGTGTTTTAGGACTTCTTCCAAAAATTATCTTTGCTTCCCTGCTCATCTCCCCTGTAACTATCAGAGAGCAGTTTCCAAGTCCTTCCATTCATGATTGTGCTCTGGTAACTTTTCAGCAGAAATCTGTTCTATTCATGGAACAGAAACTATTCATGGAATCTTTTGGCCCTAAAACAACCAGACTGTGCCTGCACTGTCAGAACACAGCATGAAACCAGCACTCTGACTTAGAAGAAGAGAGCTCTTCTTGTGGACATACAGGTGACTGAGACCATGGTGAAAGACCATCCCCAGGGAGAGGGTGTCTGAGGCCAGAACCCCCCATACCTTACTGCTGTATTGCTTGGAGCAGTGAGGGCAGCACACTGGAGGGGTGGCAATGGTGCCTGTCAGCTGGGTGTGGGTGCTCAGCATGGGATCTGGCTCTCCTGGGCCTGCAGGACGCAGTTTCCGGATGCTTGGAGGTAGCTCAGCACCAGGATGGTTTTTCAGGATGTGTGCTTTGCGTTTGCTGGCACTCTTGTACACCTGCAGGGCAACGATTTGGAATTGAAATGGTGCAATCCTGGTGTCTGCGCAGAAAACAGCTACCAGTTATCTTGATCTAGAAGGTCTGCGTGTTGCTTTAGAGAATACATTTAGTTAAATCCCCAAACAATTATAACAAAAGGCATGAACATACACCTTCATCAACCTCATCAACCTGTAAAAGCAACTGACTCCTTTGTGTGTAGCACAGAGAAGCCTTTTGAGAACATACTGTATGCCACAGCCAAACACCAAAGCAGGACAAGGAGGTAAGAGGAGAACCCTTTTTGCCATATTTGAAGATCAAATGCCCTATGTTAATTTGTTATGAGGGTTGCTGTCTCTACCTGACACAAAGCATCAAACTGTTTTAGTTCAGTGATCAACATACCTTTCAGTTCTTTTTAGGCACATAACAAACATCTACTATCTAATAATTAAAACGATTTTTTCTCCTCTCAATCAAAAGGAATGAGGCATCACAGAAAGACATACTGAGGATAAGGACAGTTAAAATACACTCCCTGGTGTATATATCCCCTGTAAAAAGGCCCCCAGGCATAAAAGGCAAAGGAGAATAAGAGCAAGAACCAAAGGTACTCCAGAAACACCTTCAGGCTCCACTGACCACTGGCAATTACTGGCACATGACCTAGTAAGTAGTTTACAATAAAAGGTGTTAAACAGAAACTTTTGGAAGTGATACAGAAGCCAAAAGTACTTACTGCCCAGGAATTATACACAGACAGGATACTTAGTCCTAGGCTAACACAAGACTAAAGGTCAGTGACTGTCTGCTGGATAACAGTATTCAAGTTTTCCAATGCCAAACACAGCAGAAAGGGGAAAACTGCAGCTTTCAATTAGCATTTCACTGCAATGGCCCAAGTGCATTTTGTCTTCTTTTTTTTTTGGACAGTACTGGAGGAATGTTGCTGGCAAGCACCTTAGGAAAGCTACAAACCCTGCCAGAGATTTCTATGCAGAGACAAATTTGTTGCATCCAGGACTAGGACTGAGCTATCCTCTGAGGGGTGACTTCCCACACACCTTGTCGCAGTATTGACAGAAGTAATCTCTGTTGGGTTTTATGATGGGCAACGTGAGCTCTGGCACCTCTTCTATTTTCATGTCTGGATGTCTCTTTGATAAATGATTCACCTTAAGAGAAACAGAACAAGAACATATTACAGCTGGAAGCCAAATGATTGGTGCTTCTTCCAGACATAGGTAACAGCCAAACCAAAACTGAACAATACAAGCCAGCAGCACTGGAAGCATTTGATGCTGCAGGGGTTATTGTGCACTCATATTTAAGTGCTGAAGGTAAATGTGGTCTTGCTAGGTCCCATTTACAGTTTCTCTAACCAAAATTAGATAGGAAGGGGTGAAATAGTTTGCCAGAACTGTCTTGTAGCTGATATCTGAGTGAGGTAGTGTAAAGGGCCTCTGCCCAGATCAGAACCCCTATGAAACCTTTGCAAACAATCTCTTGCTGCAGAACAGCCTTTACCCAGAGGCAGTGACAAGACATGGCCAGAAGAGGCCCTCAAGAAGGGGGAGTAAGAAAAAAAATGAAAGACAGGAAAACTGAGACAGTAAGGCTGAATGAGACAGTATTTTCATCTCATGTCCTGTTAAATACAGTACACATCAGTCCGCATTATTAGTGTTGAAATATGGTACTGACAACCATATGTACAGCACAGGCAGTAAAAATGTGCAACTTTGCTGAAGAGGTAAAACACACAGGTTTAAAAAAAGATGTATCACGTCAACTCAGCTACAAAATTTGCCAAGATTTGTTTCACAGCATCCTGGCTGGATAAGACCAGATTGGACAGGGCTTGGAGCAACCTGGTCTAAAGGAAAGTGTCCCTGCCCATGGCAGGTAGGTGGAATGAGATGAACTTTAAGGTCCCTTCCAGCCCAAGCCCTTACCTGTTCCCTTGTGTTCCAACACGGGAATTCCATCTTTATTCCTTATCTATTCATCAGAATTGATTACAGAGGCTGTAACAGCACCCAGGCACTCACCAACATGCCCCTGCGGCGGAAACCCATCATGCAGAGGCGGCACTTGAACATGAAGCTCTCATAGTCAGTGGAAGCAATCCGGGGCTTGAAGGTTTTAGAGCGGCTGATCCGATCAGCCTTCTTGGCCTCTCTCTCTGGGTTGTGCATCCTCTGCATGTGCTCTCGCAGCTTGTCCTTCCTCTGGGAAGGAGAAATTGGGGTGAAAAATGTTAGCAACATCACAGAAACTGCCATATTGTCTGTTATGTACAAGAGACACAGTTTGAGTTGTTCAGGGATCTCTATCCAGAGAGAGAAATTTTCCTCTCAGAAAAAGGTGTTCATTCACCCAGAAATATCCACTCCCTCAGTGTCCCATGACAAACTTAGTGAGAGGGATCAGGCTGCTGCCACTGCAGTTTACCTGGCTCACAATCTGCTCCATCTATTCCAGCAGGATTTGGAAAGGCACCTGGAAGACATGTGCTGACAAGATAGATGCCATGGACACAGGAATCTTGTCCAGGAACATTATTAATCCACTGGCATCAGCAAGAAGTTTTTTAACTGAACTGATACAAGCAATGTAACCTGAGCACCTGGCAACGGAGATGTATGATGTCCCAGTTCTTAATAAGCACATAGAAGGTTACTTTGCTATTAAATTATTAGGAATAAGATCTATTTGAAATAAGGTGCTGAAGTGACCTTGCTCCTTGTCCTTCAGAAATGGATGTCATAGCTCACACAGGACACCAAGCAATGCATGCAACTCACAGGCAAGTCTAATGTGTTTACAATTGTTATTTTCTTTCACCTTTGAGAACATGAGCTTATCTCCTTGAAAGAGGGTAAGGAATAGTGGTTTTTGTACTAGTAATGATCCAGCCAAGAGCCACCTCACCTTGAACTGCTTGCCACAAGTGGAGCACAGGAAGTCTTTACGGTCTGAGTGCCGCAGCATGTGGAGTCGCAGCTTGTCGGGGCGGCAGAAAGCCTTATCACACTCTGTGCACTGGTAAATCTTCTCAGAATGGAAACTGCGCACATGTTTCTTGACCTAAAATGGCAGATCACAGAAAAATGCAGTTTATTCAAGAGGGAAGCGAGTGGTAACACAGTCTAGGAAACTCTATGCAGTATGAAATTAAAGGAAAAGGTTTTGAAAGTGTTGCACATGCTTTAGTTTAAAAAGTATTTTATCAGAACAGTTGATACCTCAGCAATAGTTTCTATAAAGCCGTAACATCTTTATTACTCATCTGGATGGGTGATTTGATTTCCTCAAGAATGATTCTTGAAGGCATCAGCTATTGCATAGTTTCACTTAATGGGCAGAGAAAGTCCACAATGTACCATTTGCACAGAATTGCCCTTGAGTTAACACATTCACCTGAGGTTCATTATCTTCCTTTCATTTTTAAGAAACCAAAACATGGGGACTAATTCCTTTCAATCACACACAATGAGCTTGCAATTACAACTGGCAAAGAAAAAAAAAGCTTAGAAAAGCATTTGCTTTTCACATTTTAGCATTTGCACACTATTCCTGAACGCCAATTACTTCTCCATAATATGGGACTATCCTTCACCTCTTCAAACATTTAGAGGGTTTTTTTTTCCTCCCCCCAATAAAGGGACTAATGAGGTTTGACATTTGAAATGCAAGCACTACTCAAGAAATGGGTCTCTAATTAAATCCTTACCATCTTCTAATACTGATCATACATGGAACAACTTGGCATCTCTACCTGTTCCACATAGAAGTATTTCAGTAGGTAGCAGTGACTAGTCTAAATTATTCACATAGTGAGAAGAGGAAAAAAATCATTTAAATGTTAAATGTTTAAATGTTAAATGTCACAAATACAACTGAATAGTTGGAAGACAGCCATGGGACTTTCAATTGTTTGCATGGGAAAGTTTACAGGGAATTAAGTTGCAGTCCAGCATTTCTGAATCATCAGCATTCTTCTTTGTTGAACATTTACAGAAGATAAAGGACTTGCCAGGATGGAATTATATTAGTAAATCACTTTCTCCCATCCTTTCCTCTTTAGCCTAGTGAATAGTCAATCTGTTTCTATTACTGATCTAAACTGTGTTTCTACGTTTCAATTTCAGTCAGGCAGCTCAGTAAGACACATCAATTGCTTTGTTCCTAGGAAGTATAATGAATATGTGCACGGTCCATCTCAGTTGTTTCTTACTGGGCATGGAAATAGAATCTTTAAATTCTACTAATGACCTTGTCCAAGTGCTCAGCATAGTGCAGAGTAGCTGCATTACTCACTGCTCCAGTGCAGGGAAGGAGAATAAAGTGCCCAGCTGAAGCCCAGAGGGGAAGTCAGGAAGCAGAGTGTCCTGATTTGTTCTGGCATTTCTTCAAACTGTTCAAATGAATTATCTTGACAGAAAACAGGCAAGGGATTAAAGATGTAAACACACTCGGTTTTTTGTTCAGTTTTAATGACAAAGGGCAAGGTGTGCTCAAGTACAATCTGAATAAGCAGAAGACAATTCCTTTTCGTCTTTTTTCCACAGAGACATAATAGACAGGACCTCTGCTTCAGGCATTTTTTGGCAATAAGGCACCCACCCTTCTGCAGCACAGTGCCTTCCAATGCCAGATTGAAGCATCATATCTCATGATTTAGTGGACAGAGCACTTCAGTGTCATAAGACAATGTCTAGCAGTGCTTGGTCACTTTTCAATTTCTGACTGAGGTGGACCCCTGCACATTGTGAGAATGAACTGCTGTGCAGTTACATGGGGAGTGCACTGAGAAACCCACAGCCTTGTGAGAGACCCCCAAAGCAGTGTTTCAAATCAGTACAGCATCTCACCTGGATAAAATCTGGGAAGCGTTTCTTGCAGGTGGGGCAGGTGAAATAGCCATCATTGACATGGATGGCCACGTGATCCTTAAGCAGATCCAAGCGGTCAAAGGACTCAGGGCAGAAAATGCAGGAGTATGTTTTCTGGTCCATATGGAACTTCATGTGGCTCTCAAGGGCACCACTGTTGATGAAGCCCTTGTTGCAGATGTCACAGGTCAACGGGCAGTTCCCTTCCCGCCCATGGAACCGCAGGTGCTGGTCCAGCTTGTCCTTCTCCCGGAAGGCCTTCCCACACTGCAGACATTTGAACGGGCGGAAGGATTTCCGGATGAACAGGTGCTGCAGAGCTGCATTCTGAAAGAAGAATCCAAGAGACCATTAGCTTTCATTACCATGTATAGATTCCACACCCATATATATTCAGGATTAAATATACTGGATGATCAGTGAACCGAAACCTCAAGAAATTATTTTCCATCATATGCTGCCTCCAATTTACAGCAGGGGAGGCTGTGACAGGCAGAAGCAGGGGACATACCTACAGCTACACCCGGAGTTAGCAGAACACAGTGCAGGAGTTTTCTCTCTATCCCTGATTTCTTGATTTAGCTGACTTGTCTTTAAGTATGTCATTTTTCTGTAAAATAAAACTAAGCCCTGTCTGAAGCACAGACCTGGGCCTAAGAAAAACTGCAATTCCAGCTGATTATTGGGCATCACATCATAAGTTCAGCCACCACACAAAGGAATGGTGAGCCAGCAGCCTGTATTTCCCTCAGGAGCAGGGTTTATGAAATTCCACAGCCCTTTACTAGATAACCTTCAAAAATCACCACAGAGATGTGCAGCAGTGGTTTAGTATTGCCTGGAGAACTTCTAGTGGAACATAAATTAAAGAAATGCTGGTCTGAACTTTTTTACTATTGCCAAAAAGAAGAACAGAGTTTCAAAACTTGATGCCAAAGGCAGAATGGCAGCTTTATGAGCAACAGGTAAGAACTTGTGTGCAGTTCCCCACTCCTACTGTGCACAAATGTCTCTTTGCAGCCCCTATTTTGTTTTGGTGTGTGTTTGTCTTCACTCTGCCGTTTCTGTAACATTTTGTGATTGTTCTCACTTAGTTTTCTCCCCTTACCCTTCACATAAATGTTACAGAGCCATTCCAGTCCTGACCCAGCACTCTCTGCTGGAGGAACAGATGCTGCTGGATGTACTGTCTTTAGAAAAAGGGAAGGGGATCCCGCACCTGCATTTCAATATTGGATGAGAACTTCCATGTTGGATACTTGCAAAGCTGGAATTGAGTCCCGTGAAATCCCACAGTACACTGTCACCCATACTGCACTCAAAATACACTTCAGTGCTCTACTCCCCTTCAAGAATACTTCTATAAACCATTATTTATTTATGTTTTAACTTTTCACATTGCACACAGAATCTACATCATGATAGTTAGAGAAGTAATGTGGAAGAGCATAAGTTTAGGTTGCATATTAGAAAGACTTTCTCAGCTGTGAGGGTGGTAAGGCCTTGTCACAGGTTGCCCAAAGAAGCTGTGGCTGCTCCTTTGCTGGAGGCATTCAAGGCCAGATTGGATGGGGCTTGGAGCAACCTGAGACAGCAGAAGGTGTCCCTGCCCATAGCAGTGGGGTGGAACTGGATGAGTTCTAAGGTCTTTCCCAACCCAAACCACATGTGTTCCATATAACCCACTTCTCCATGAGACACATTCTTATGGGATAATCTTGAAGGTGTTTTGTGACCTTTCCTGTTTTCTAGGGCTGATTAACAGGGATGCAATGTGCACTGCAGTACCATCATGAGAAGTGAAGGCTTTCAGCAGAAGGGAATAATTAGGGCAGGATAACAACAGGGCAGGGATAAGGAAGAGTAAAAAAGTTAAGGAGAAGGGACTTTTTCTAACCTCATTTTACTGGCTATGCTCCTTGTTATACAATCAGTTGCATTTCTTTCACCATGAAGGAAGTGATTGTGCTTTCCAAATCATATTCCTATCCCTCCTGTTTCTGGTATTAGCACACAGACACCCTACATACTGCCCAGAACTGAACTAAAAACAAATATTCATTGTGGCTGTGGACCACAATGTTCCTCTAATTTTCTACAAGAGTTCTTGAAGGGTGTATCTCTTTCCAATACTAGGGACACAACTGCCATAGTTAAGATCTAGCTCCAAGAAAACCCCACAGGCTCTAAAACAGAGGCTGAAAAATGAACTGATTCTATCAGGACTTGAACCCTGAGTCAGGACAGATCAGTGCTTCCAGCTTGCATGAAAACAGTCTCAGAGCACCACTGTCTTAAGCCTTAGAAAAGCTGAAGCAATTCACAAAGAATGATTGGTTTTGAAAACTAAGTCCTATCTAAGTAACAAGGAAGAATTAGAGCTACACAGGTTTCAGAATCATAACCAGGAGTCCGGACTTTCTACCTGTTATTTGGAAGCGAATAACGTACTACGTATCTGAAAACCAAATGTTTGCTTGCTTTTATTACGAAGTACATGTTACTGGAGGCAGGTGCTGTGGATAGCTGAGTTGAGTGAGTGTTCAGAAGGTGGCTTTTCAGTGCTTAAAAAATTATGTTTGCTGGTTTAGTCTTATCTCAAGTGCTCATTGCTCACAGTCTGATGCAATATGGAAAGGTCTGTGCAACTATCCATCTGCCATTCTGCCAGTGCCCCTGACTTGAAACATTTCCAGGACTCTGCTGAACATGAGTTGCCAGGTACAGGGAAAGTTCGAAAGACTTGAGACACAAACATGTCACTGAACCACCACTGCACTCCTCTGAGCTGTCATCAATTTGTGATGACTTTACAGAGAAAAGATGCTAAGTCACAAGACAAAGAAGTAACTTCAGAATTTCTGTATTTTTCTTCCTACATTCATTATTTCAAAGGATTCAAGTTCACATCTTGGATTCAAAAGTTCAGGGAAATGGCCAACATTTTCTTTTCTTACTGAGGACACTGTAGCACACTGTAAGCAATACATCCCTGTGCCCTGTCAAAATTTCAGCATCTCTGTACTCTACTAAACACCCTTCAATACCATTCAGTAAAAAATCCTCCAAGCTTTTAACATATGAAATCACTGGTAGAAACTTGCAATTCAGAGACTGCAAGCATTTTGTATAGTTAAAATGTGTGCAGTCTTACTGTACCCAAACCAAACTCTTCCTTCAAGACATGCCACAGTATTTCTGGGTAGCAGCACCATTGGTCTTGCATATATATTGCTGTAAACTGCAAGCAAAATTTGGCTCAACATGTTCCTATACAGAATAGTTACACAACTCCTTCCTAATCCCTCCTCATCCGCTAAAAATGAACCCTTACCCCCACCACAGCTGCTCCTTTCCTTAATCCAAAGTTAACACACGGAAGAAAAAGATTTTAAGCTAAATAAACTGCTCTCCCAGTTACAAAGCTTCAAGGATTATTTGCTTGAATCATTTCTCTCCCACACATAGTAGAGAAAAACAGCTCAGCCAGTTGACACAGAGCTCAGGCTCATACTGTTTGTTCGTAACACAGGTTTTGCTCTCAAAGGCAGGGTTTTCTACCCCAAAAAAGGACTTTGTCACTAAGTATCATCATAATCATCACCAAAGTGGATCCAAACTGAGGTTGTGGTTCCTCTTTGGCAATTATTTGAGTTCTGAGAGACACAGATGGTGCTGTGAGCAAGTCTCTAGTCTGTGCCACAGCACTGCAATTCTGCCAGCTGTTTGAAGCACCCCTGCTTACCAGCTTGAATGGACTGTTTTCCCAAGCCAGAATTACTGTGATGGAATTCAATGGTCCAGGTCCTGACCAGTTCCCACTAGCACCTATGAGATACTGGTCCTTTACTTGAGATTTGTCTTCCTCTCAGTGCAAAGAAAACTGCTAGGAATGAGATGCTTTATTTGGGATTTGGAAATGGATACAACACTGAAAGGAGAACCAGCTGGCCCTGGCAGTCAGGCCTGGTATTCCCTGGGTTACAGTGGATGCAATCCCCCATCCTCTGTGCTTACCCTGATGCGCTTTGCTCGCCTCATGTCATCTGCTGTCATGGTGCTCTGTGTGGGCACTGTGCTCCCCTCGTGCTGTGGCTGGATGTGGAGTATGTGGTTTTCCTGCTGCTCCAGTGCTGCTTGTGGCTCTGGTGGCACTGGAGTCTGTTCCTGCTGCTCCAGCCCATTCAGTGGGGCTTGTCCAGCCTCATCAAACTGCCCCTTGCTGGAAAAATGCAGCAAGTCCTGAAATCGCAAATCATACAACCAGTGATTATTCCCCCCACCCACTGAAAAACACTTTGATAATACTCAGTAGACAACAAGATTTGTACATATTTAATCACAAGCTATAAACAAAACAGTGTAGTGTCTACACTAACTCCTACAGTTCTCCTGCTGTGTCCACTGCACATCACCTTCACCTACAGCAGCATCACCCAGAGCACCAGGGAAGCAATGCTGCAGGTGGGCGACTCTCAATGGGCCATCCCTTTGACTGACCAGTCACAGACAATCACCATTATCTGGCTATTAATAGCCAAGGAGGCTCTTCTGCACTCAAGAGTATTTCTGCTTTAACCAAAGTGACTAGTGATGACCCAGGAAAGGAGAGAATTTCTGTCTCATGGAAACGGTTGTCCCTTTGAAACATTATGTGTCATTTTGCAGTGTCTTCTCCTTCCTAACAAACTATCTAGATTGCTGAACTGGAGTGACAAATGAGATGGTCACACTGGGAACTATGTGGTGTTTTAATCCAGTTTCCAGCTCTGCACACATCACTTTCATATATCACACAAAGCTGTTCTTCCTCCCCTTTCGCATTAGCATAAAAGGGAGGTGTTGTGAGCAGGAAGCACATGCCAAAAATCTACATTCTCTTCCTGTAAGTTCCAATAACTCTTCTGGAATGGAATCATCTTTTATTACATGAAAAAACACACATAGATCTTTATTTGACACCATGTAATGCAACTGAAGAAACTTAAAAGCACAAGCTAGGAAACAGCACCACAATTAATCTTGAACTATGTCAGCTGAAGGCTGGTGCTGTCAAAACACAAAAGCGGGTGTGGGAGAAGAAAACCAAGGAAAGAGGCCCTTACAGACTGTGAGTGCTTACCAGAAAGAAACCCTTAGTAAGCAACACACAACCTCAGTGTCCAGCCCAGGTCCGCGTGGCAAGTTTCCACCTTGCTGATACTCACAGCTGTGCTCTCAGCATCCTGACTACAGTTCCCAGGCAGAACTCGTGCCCAGCTTCAGCAAGGTGAGCAGCTCTCCAATGGCTTGGGGCATCACCCTGTCCTACTGCACAGACATACATGAGCCAGCCCTGGGTCACGCTCCAAGCTGGCAGGACACAAGCTACGTATAGTTCAGAGGCCACTCACACACTAGACTGCGCCCAGCAAGCACCACCTCCCCAGAGTGAAGGGTTTGGGACAAACATTAGGTTTATTTGTCTAAATGAGGCAGGCATGTGTCATGTCAGCCTGTGGAGAGGGTGAGCTCACAACTGCCTGCACTTAATGCAGCATTTAGGGCATTGCAGCAGGAATTCACAGGCAGAGTATACATCTGAGCATACCTCTGAATCAGCTTGGAGCCATGACCCAGTAAGGTGCCAGAGGAAAATTACCACTCTAGATATCAACTTTCAGCTAAGTCATAAACTAGAGCACTGATCCCTCCTGTCACCGCTCATAAAAGGACTTAGTGGTAACCGAAGTATGGTCAGCATTAGAGAATTTAGCTTTTTACTTAAATGCATCATATTACATCCCTGCAGAATATAACCAACAGCTACAAGCAAAAGAACATTTTGCAATAAGCCTGCCTATAGGAGGCCCTTCTGTTAATACTAAAACATTTTAGAGAATCACATCTCAAACTGATTTAATTCCACCAGCAACAGTTGTAAGAACAGGCTGATCTCACATTCCAGAAAGGACAAATAGGAACCTAAATTCCTATTACAGTTTTACTGTCCAAATTACTTCTGTGGGGCTGCCAAACTGCCGCAATAACCCGCCTCACTGCTAAGTTCTTTGGAGTCAAACTTGCTGCAGAAACCCAAGTGATTTTACAGGTTTTATAGAATGGAAATAGTGTGCTCTCCTGGCAGAGAGTTCCAGCTAGAAACCAACTCATGTGTAAGTCCAAAGCACACCCTTAGTTTGCACTGATGCCCAAAATTATTTTAGTTAAGAGTTTACGATCCATGTGCTATTTTTTTCCCCTCTATCTCCAAAAATATACCTGTGTCCCTTCTTCACACTTTTCACCATTTTCACTGGTTACTTCCATGCGCATGAATTTGGGAGGTCGCCCAGGGCGTCTGCCTGGTCCAAATCTCCTCTTTCCTCGCCCACGACCTCGGCCTCTGGCTCTGCAGAATACAAGAGTGCTTCATGTTAGGTACAAAAAAAGATGGATTTAGATTCTCCACTGATTTTGTGCTTTCTTTCTCAGCATCCCTACTCATTCATTCAACTCAGCAACAATGATGCAGTAAATAATAAAAAGCAGTAAATAATAAAAACTGAAGAAATTCTGGCAGTAAAAACAATAGGTTTCTGGCTGGTATCTATTTATTTTGTGTTTTATGAGAAACCAAAGTTCAGAACACATTAAAATGTCTATCAGTAATCATGGGACCAAGAGGACTACTTGCTTCCATCCAGCCCTCTGCCATGACAAGCCTCCCACTTCTAACACCCCGGTTTATGGCGTGCTGGAAGTATTTTCAGCATGATGGAACAAGTGCACAAGGAAACCCATTTAAAATCTGAGGCTACAACATCCCTCCCCAAAAAGTGCTCAGCTGTTGATGTCAGACACTAAACAGAAGGGAACAATTTTGTGTCAAAAAAGCAAAACAAAACAGAGTCACTTGCTACATTTCAGGGGAAAGAAGGCACCAATGTCTTCTGCTCTGTGAGAGGTGTTTGTAGATTCAGTTTTTAATAGGTCAGGATAAACTATTTTGCCAGGCCAATGAGGCACTAAAAGCCTTGTTTTCCAAGCTCTGTACTTTCCTATCTCTGAGAAACACAGTATTTTAATACTGTGATACTGAAACATTACAAGTATTTAAAGACTTTGCCAAAAAAAAAAGCAAAACAAAAAAACCTCACCAGTTTCAACAGAGTATTTCTTTCAAGCTACTTCTTTCAGAGTCTCTTATACCAGTCAGCCTCCTACTGCCATGATTTTTCCTTCTGGTGCTGAGTTGATCTCTCCTGAGTTGGTCACTAAGATTTGCAGGATAAAGCCCCTCCTTTCTGCATGTTTGGGGAAGCATCATAGTGATCCACAAGCGAAGCTAAGGCTATCAATACCTGCTGAAGAAGTCCAACTTCTCATCATGGGAATTGAGGTGCTGCTGGAGCTGCTCCGAGCTCATGAAACGCCGATTGCACTCATAACACGGCCAGTTCTTTTCCTGCTCCCTGAGCACTATTGGAAATGTCAATAACACCATTTCACTCATCACAAATTAAACACCTAATTTTTTGGTCCCCAGCCTCTCTATCCCCTGTAGGCCGTATTTCTCCCCTGAAGGTTAGACAGGCTGCAGAATACCCAGCCCTGCTCCACTGGTCTTTGCTTTTATGCCCTCTGCACTATACTATGACCATAGATCATCACAAAGACACAGAAAGATCACTGGGGACAATTCTCATGGACTATCAACACTGTTAGAAATTCAGGGGGATTCTGAAATTCACCCTTGTATGGAAGAGCACCTACAGGATTGTGCCTTTGGCATAAGTTAAGGGATATCAAGGGAAATTTCTAAATCTAAAGCAGTCACATGTCAGTTTATGGCACACAGTAGACACTGAGTACAGAAACAGACCTCTTTCTGGGAGGAAGCAACCTAATGCTTCACAGAAACTGAAACAAAGGCTTAAATTTAGGTAATATTCTCATGAGAAGAGTTATTGGAAATAAGCCCAAATAACACAATCAACATCTGGTTTAACTTTTCCCAACCTAGCAGGAATTTGGGAGCACTATACAGGCCATATATTTGAAAGTAAGGAGTGCAACTCGCAACCACCACCACACTGAAAGCAGAAGATCCCATGTTACCCTTCCTTTCCTCCTCAGTTATGTCATGGATCTTCTGGTTCACAAATTCAGCATAGGAGGCAGCATACCACACCTGCAGCAAGAGCACAAGGTAGCAGGACACTTAGGTGGAACCAAAACTATTGGAAATTTATTTGAAAATGGGTTTTAAGCAATACATTTACTTCACTTGCTTCAACCACTAACTCTCATTATTCCTTTCATCCTCAAGAATGAAGTATGGTAAGATAAATGTGCCCCCACTGAGGAATCAAAGAGCTTTGCCCAGGAAGTACATCCATTTAATTTTAAGGTCTAGCTTCCCAACATGAATGTTAATCTCACACATGGCTACCAGTAGCTCTAAAGGAAATAAGATTAATCTCTTCTAACCCAGCTACATGACTGTAAAGGAAGGATGTCAGCAGAGTTCTGATACTTGTACCAAGAGGAATAAAAATGTTACTAACTTGGGGGATTTTCCATTTCTTTCCTGCTCTCCTTACATAGACAATAGGCACCACCATCTAGACAGATGCTTTTAATATGCTTCTGAAGGATTTGGTCCTGCCTCCCAAAACAAAGATCTGCCAGACACTAGCATGATGGACCTACTTTTGTCATACAAGGAATTTGAGCCTTCAACAAAGTGAACCACAAGAGGCAGGAAGACAAAGTTTCTTAAAGCCTAAGAGCAAGCAGATGCTCACATTTAGCTGAGAATTCTTCCATCATTTCATCTATTTGATGAAAACCAGTGGATTTTGGAAGAGATTTCTCAAAAAAGGCATCAACAGATTTTCAGCATGAAAAACTCAGACAAGTTTGAACTTGTAGGGGGCCACAGGCAGAGGTGAGTAGGATTTCAAGGACTCTTCAGCAGGTGTGTCACTCTGCAGGAATCTCACCAGCTGGACAAAGATAAAAGCCTGGAGCTCCTGGACCACACACCTGGCAGGCAAATCAGACCTTCCCAGCTTCAACTATTTCAATCTCTGGACAAAATGTGCATGAATGCTCTGCATCCACTTGGGGAGGAAATCATGTTACCAAGCCTTACAATTAGCAAACCATTTTACCCCAGAAGATGCTAACACATAAACTAACAAAAAATATGCTCCCACAGGAAGGTCTGTACAAATTTAAAGTTCGATTTCAAATTGTTTTACAAACTGTTGAGAAAATTATGTTTGAATGCACTTAAAATGGATTTGTAAGATTTCTAGTAACGCAGCATAAAAAAATTAAGGACTGATTTCAGACAGTCCTGCTCTTAAAGGGTATAAGTATGCTTTTGCCCTGATTTAGTAAATGTGCTTACTAAACAGTTGTTTTTCCAGACAAATTGTTGAAATCCACATGCAAGAAGAGACTTGAAGAAAAACAAAATTTCCTGATGTCAATATTTTAGGTTCCCTCTTCCAGTAAAAAATGTTGAAAATTAAGGCCATCTCAGCCAGCCATCCTGCTTTGAGCTCAACATAATCAATAAATTTTTAGAGGGAACAAAAAGCAAACCACAGGGAAGTCACAATATCCTTTATCATTTTTCACATGTAGAGTTTCAGAATCTCAAGGAAAGCGAGGTAAATGGAGAGACCATATTAACTTAAGGCACCAGAAAACAAGTCAGGAACACACAGGGCTAACGGGAAAGGGCATCCAGAATTAAAAAAATACAACTGCTGCAAAAAAAAATTAGATTGTATCAACAAAATACATGCCGTGTAAAACATGACAGGGAGAGACAAATAATTTACATATTTTTATTTTAAACTTCGTCACAAGACAAAGCTCATTAAAATACCTATGTTGTCGACTAACTACTTACTGACTTCAGTGACATTCAATTCAGGCCATCAGAGGAAAAAAGCTCTGAAACTATTCACAGCAGTAGTTTCCGGCACTTACTAGGCAGAAATTTTTAAGATACAATTTAATCAGTAGAAAAAGAGAATCCTGACAAACAAGCAATGATGGATTACCTTGAGTTCCTGCTTGGGCTCCACATTTTTAATGGTGGTGTAATAAATGTGGTGGCCGTACTGATAGGCCACCAGGTTCTGCTCCAGGTGGTTTTGAGCTGGACGCACAAACATCATCCAGTTACACAGAGCCTCACTGGAAAGTTCAAACCACAGGTCTTCTTGCAAGTCTCTGTCTTTTCTGTCACCCTTATCAAGAGAAACCTGTAGCAAAATCCAATTATATGTGACTGTAACTGCCTGGCAGCACATTCAGAAGAATTTGAGTTACTAAGAAAATTACTGTGCCCATGCAACTGTTACATTAGGGGAGCAATGAAAGCATAGTTAATTTTCTCTCTTTACTTACAGGGATCCAGAAATAGGTTGAAAAATTTTTAGCAACAGGTAAAGGTTAACTAGGGGGGCACAGTGGATCCTTCCAAGGCTTTCAAGGACAAGAATCATTCATTAAAGGGGTCAGGGACAGTATGAACATATGACTATAACAAATGACACATAAATAGCTGTAGCTTTAGTAGGCTACAGAAACATCAGTCAGAAGTTCCTAATTGGCAGACCCACTTTTCCTCTCATTTCTTGACTCATGACATTGCCTCAAGCAGGAAGCAGCACTTCTTTAGCTGAACTCGCTTGGCTGCTAAATCTGCCCATGGTCACAACTTGCTTGTCAGACACTGATCATCAAAGCCCTCCTAAGAATGTGGATCTAAACTCTAACAAATAAACAACTAATTTTTTATAATGAAACCACTAAATAAATGGGTAAAAGTCACTCAAATCCATTTTACCCCATGTCAATTACTTGGCAAGAGGAAGGGAATAAAAGTATCTCCTGTCCCCTACATCTTATGAACAGAAAGGTAAGAAAAATATTTTGAACTGAAGCTACAACATGACACAAAAGAATGGCTGCAGAACGTCCTCAGAAGGGGCTGCTATTTTTATGTCCAGATGCTGCTTCAGCTCATGTGAGAGTGATTCACAGCCTTCCATATTATGCACCCTATATATACATATATATATCCTATCACCATAATGCCAGAACATTCACCAGGATTAGTGTGTCACCCTGAATAACAGGGCAGATTTGGAATCAAAGCCATCTGGGTATTTCTTATTTACACCCAGAGATGGAAGTAACAAAACACCTCTAGTGAATTGATCACGGTAGAGTGACAAATTAATGAAAATCAAAGCTTAGACACAAATTGATTCCCCCTTTTCTCACCCTTACCTTCAAATGGATATAGCAGTCTTTGAGCTCAGTCTGTCTGACCAGGGGTCCTTCCACAGGCCCAAACTGTGTACGCTTCGGTATACGCCTTTTGGAAAACACACCTCCCAAAAACCTGTCTATATAGAGCACCAGGGGAAGGCTGGCCCTTGCCCTGGTCAGCACAGGCCGATTTGGGATGGGATGCAACGGTCCATGTTTTGGACACACTGAGGGATGTGCGTTATTACACTCTTCACACCCTGCAACACAAAGGCAGAGAGGACATGACTTTCAGGCAGATACCCACACACCAGTTCAGAGACAGCCTTATCTCTCTCTAAACATCTTTGGCTCAGCTGTGGGAACACTTACGTCAATAATCTGTCTACATTTTAAATTATTAGACAGGCCAGTGTCCAGCAAAATAAAAACAAAGCAGCTCAGAGACTTCACTAAAGACAGAATTTTGTCTTTTCAGTAATGCAGCCCAATTAGAGTTCACATTTCTGGGAATAAAGGCTCACATTTATTCATTACTGCTAAAATTTGAATGGTTTTTGCCTTTCTTTACTAAAAGGCTGATGGAGAGGGAAGAAAAAGGGGGCAGGACAGGTAGTACACTACATATTACTGCACATGCTTACACAAATCATTTGGATCAAAGGGTCGAGGTGGATCTGGATCCCATTCATCCATGTCAGTGTCTTCCCCATCTTCATCCTCATCTTCATCCTCATCATCTTCCTCTTTTGTTTCTATCCTTTCCATTTGATTCTGCAAAGGTGCTAAAGGATCAGAACCCTCCACAGCCTCCATAGGAGGTAACACCTGGTTATGCACCGGTAATGATGCCTGAGGAGAGAATTCACAAACAATTCAAGCTGATTCATGAAGAAAACCACAAGGACAAGCAATGAAGGTCCTTGCTAATCTACACTTCTGGCTGCCTCTGGTAATGGAGAGGAGGACTAGGGAAGGTGCTAAACGACTACCAAGGGATGTTTTGCATGGCTTGCTGCTGCTGATGGCCTCACTCAAAACACCTGTATTACTCCCTGGCTCAACCTTGCCAAGGACTCTGTTCTCAGAGAAACTGAACTCAGAGGAAGCTCTGGACCCTTGCACAAAGTTTGAAACAAAGTCCAGGCTCTGTGGATATTACCTAGAGCCTAAGGCTGTATTTTAACTTCTTTTATACAAGTGAGAGAATTCTGCACTTTGGCACATGATCTTCTCTTTACAATCCAACAAAACCAAACCCCAGAGAACAAAGGTAGAGGTCAGTAAGGGGTGAAGTAACATGTTGACAAGATATAAACTACAGGACACAAAAGACAATTGAGGGCATTGCATTCTTCCACTAATTTTCAAATTTAGCCCTTTCCTTCCTTAAAAGAACCACAACATTTGAAGTTTGGCACATATTCCATCACCCACACAGGTTTCTCAGGTAGAGAACAAGAAATATTACATCCAGCAGAGCTGCCTGAAAACACTGACGAGGAAACCCAGTGGATGTTGCTGTTAACACTTCTGTTAACTTGACTTTTCAGCACTGATAGAATTTTTAGGTGGCTGCTCATAGAACCATCTGTCAAATAGGTTTCTCTGTATATTAAATACACGATCTCCTAAACCCCCCATACAATCCATGGTGAGGCTATGGAAGACAGTACACTGCTTTCTCGCATCTCCCATATCACTCAGCCACATTTCATCCCCAGAGATGACGGAGCAATGGAATCAGTGTACTAGTACATGGAAAAGGAAAGGGTGCCTGGCAACTTACTCTATCTGTTTGTGGCCCCTGCTCCAGAGTCACTGGCTGGGGGGGGTCAGCAACACTGCCGAGCACAGACAGGTTGGTGGGATTCATGCTCTGAGCAGCAGCAGGCAAGAGCACCGTTACCTAAAATCACAGGCACTCATTTTAGCACTGCAGCATTTCCATCAGTCACTTAACACACGGGCAGGGCCCGGCATACATAGCTCCCTTGAGCTCTGCACTTGCTCAAAAACTGTAGCAGTCTCATGATTTTTGGGGTTCAAATAAGGATGATGGGCTTGGACAGAACCTGCAGCTCCTGGGACAAAGGGAAAGGCTTCAAATCTATAGATTGCAAATTATGAATTACCTATTACACATTTTTAAATTAAGATCCTACCCAGCCTGGGTTCAAATGGCACTAAAAACAGATGTTAGGAGCTCTTTAGCTCTCAGTAAAACGACTGATTTGGGGTCTCTTTTCCTCTATGACCAAATTTACTTTCATTTTCAAGGGAAAAGGTAAAAGGAGGACTAAGAAACATTTCCTCTTTTTTGACTTCTTTTTTCCTTGAGCAAACCCTGCCAATGGCTGGGTTTTAAGATAGCTTTAGATAAGCTTTAAGGTCCCTTCCAATCCAAATCATTCTGTGATTCTATGATCCAGAATCCATTAAAAAACCAGGATGATGTATTGACCTCATGAGAGGATCAAGCTCTCAAACAAGAGGATCCCAACAATTATGTTTCTTTACATTTGCTCACACTATACATTTTTGTTTACATACTCACTTTTTTGTGCTGTAACAACCAAACTAATGCATATTACCAAACTGTTCTCATCCATTCAGCAATAAAACAAAGCACAATTAAGACCCTAGGAATCACCTTTCCTGCCTTTCATTTCCTGCTTATCTATACAGGAATTTGAACCATTATTTTGCGTGACTTCTCATCACTCTCTACAGCTGACATCATGTGGCTTCTAGTTTGTGCCTCTAACTGTTAAGCAGCTCCCGTAGTGAGGGAGCAGACAACAAAATCCATAATGTGCGCACTCAGAACTCCAAACTAGTTGCTTTATTTAAAGGGGTATTAAGAGTAATTTATGAAACTCCTGAAAAACAATATCAAAAAGACTTTGGGGAATGGTGTGATGGTGAGGAGGAAACCATCCACGATAGTCTGATAATGACACTTCTGATGCCAAGTGGCAACAGAAGAGGCATCATTATTCCTCCAGTGTGCCAACAAGGAGAGAGGGTTAAACGCACTTGGATCTATTTGTAACCCCTGTTAGCATTGCCTACTGCTAATCACACCAAACATACCCTTACTTGCACTTCCCTGTCAGGCACTGCATGGATTATGGGCATTATTTTTATAAATCTCCCACTTTCTTTCTACAATAAAATTTCTTCTGAAAGACAAGAGGAGCTTTAATTATTATTTTATCATTACTTGTCAGTTCAGGGATGTCCCACATGAAACACTGATGTAAAAACAGCTGCAAAGGCAGGAGTTGATATAATGAGGGATTAACCATTCACCAAAAATTAATATATGTCAGGACTGCTGTCAGACAGTGTTGGAATGGAGGACAGGCTGCAGACACACAGACAAGTGCTTCTAGGATAATAACAGCAGATCACCTCTGCTGTTACTGCCATCTGCACTTTGCACAAGTAATCGCTATCTTTAATTAATCATATACATGTTAGTTAAATGAGCTTTATGACAATTAAATAGGAAATTTTGGCTTCTTAATGCAGGGAAATGAACAGACAAAAAAATTCCAGAGCAAAACTCCAGAGAATGAGAAGACAAGTAACACCTTTATTGTGTCAGTCATTGCTTCCCATCTGTGCCTCGACCATTTAGAAGGTCTTTTAGTAACAAAATTTGTTTTCAGCACACATTCAATTCCTCACTCTGCGCCAAGATTTTCAATAAATACATATTCTAATGATGGATTTGGTGATGATTCGGATCTAATACATCCATTCACACATGTCATTAAAGACCCACCAAGCAGTAACGATTTAAAGTCTATGACAAGCAGAGTATTCCAACCAGAGAGATGTGAAAGCACCTGTCTACAGTTGATTACCACGGTGCAGTCCCCAAAGATACCAGTTAGAGTTAATAACAAAACTTCCCATCCGTGATGGGTGTAAAAAGTATAAGGAAAAAATCATCATAACCTTATAAACACAGGCTGCAGTTTTATTCTCTTCCCAGGCCACCTCACACTGACAAGCCCAGCATACCTGGTAAGAGAGCCGGTCACCGAACTTCTTCAGGTTTTACACTTAACTTCCTGTGATGTTTCTAGTAAACCTAGAATTTAATCCAATTTTTCAATCCCTTGAGAACCTTTTGTGGCCTAAAGTCATTTGGCTCAGAATCTGTATGAAGACAACTGAACACCCAGCCTTTCCAAAATGGCACATTCAAATTACATCAGCCCCATCTGGTGCAGGGACACTGTTGAAAGACTTTTCATGCTATCTGGGGCAGTAAATTAGAATTCTTGTTCAATATGAATTAAAGAGAATAAACCCAAAATCATTCTTAACTTTTATTGTCATTCATGCTCAAGCTGGTCATTGGTCTTAGTACAAGTCTAAGATTGTCACTGGACAACTTCAGAGACAGCTCATTACCCTCTCACACCACACAAACATCTCTTTACCTTCCCTAACTGTTCCCTCAGAGTTTTGGGCCCAAAATGAATAATATCTCTTCCTTACCTGCTGGGTGGTAGCATCTTGTTGGACATAAGCCACTTGGGACGGATCTGTAAACAGAGTCTAGACAAAGTGAAAAAGGCTTATCAAACAAGCCCTGGGGGTTTTTACTCCCAACTCACATAAAAGTTACCCTGCCACCACAGAACAACCCACATTAGAGCCTTTGTCAGCTCCTAACCTGCCTGTTATCACAGCAAATTACTTCAACTTACCCAACTAGACCTACACACATAGAAATTAAAAATTAGGTAATACTCCATAAAGATTTAATATATTTATGTGGCACTTTGTATTTCTACAGCTGAAGTGTTTCACAGAGTTTATTTTTTTTATTTACCAAAATCACTTTGTCAATTGTCGATTTGATAAAATCTACAAGATGAAATTCAATAGTTCTATCTATACCCTTAATGTGTAACACTTCAGGGCAGGATAGAAGGCAACTATGAGCTTTTTCTTCCTGAAAATTCACAAGACTGCTGCATGCTTTCTTTTGAGGAACTATCATGCACATCCTATATGGGACTTTGATATGGCCAGAATGCTGTTTAATTTCATAGAAGCCATGTCAACTTCAATATTCTGCAAGAACAGCCCTGACAGAATCCCAGGAAAAGCAAGGCTATGGATTGACTGAGGCCAGCCTTACTTAGCAAAACTTGAAATATCTGAGCTTGTAGCAGCCTGGCTACAACAAAATAAATCACGGTATAATACAAATTCCTTTAGCGCTGTAATAATTTCACCATAGATGCACAAGAGTGTTTGAATACTACACATCTTCTGACACGATGACAGCATTCAGAGTTTTGGAGTTAGCTGGCCAGTAACTTCCCAGGAGATATTCTCTCAGGACATCCCTCCACATTGAAGCTGATTTTCTGGGGCAGCTGAGAGCTGCACAAGACACACTGTGCCACATGAGGCTCTGCCAGCATGATGGGGGTGTCAGGTATGTGCACTTTGCAGCACAGCTAATCTGCCCTGTCAGTAAAGATATTATAGAACACTCTTGACAAAGCGTGCTTATTCCTTTTTAACCTGTTCACACAGAGGCAGAGATACATAGCATATTTACCCCATATAAACATGTGCTGTAAGGGAATAAAGGCTATTTAATATGATTATGCAGAAGAAAAAGAATATAAAAGGTCTATAAAATCAGTAATTCTGCAGAGACTAAAAAATTATGTTGAATAAACATGCTCTGCAAAAAGACATGACTATTATAACTATCAATTGTGACAACTGTACTACACAAAACAAAGACTCTTCCAGAAAAAACATAGATGGCTCTTAGCTTTTTACTGGATACAAGAGGCAGAATTTCTGCTGAGATTATCCTCATTCTGGAAAACACTTTTGAGTAAATTATAATCTCATCCACCTTCAGTGAAGTAACCAACCTTTCATAATTCATAGCCTCATCATCCTCTGATAAGCAGATTTGCACATCAGACAAATGAACAGCATGAAGTCCATGCTCAGCAGTGGGCAGAGAAAACTGCTGGGAGCGACTGCATGCTATTTTCCAGTCATACCACTTGGCTGGTAACTGGCTTTTATCCCAAACAAGATTTTTTTCTAGGTGCCAAAACCAGGGTGGGTTCAGAACCACACGTGCCTGTGTAGCTTCCATGGGGTGGATGTAAACGAGGGTGTGCTCCGAGGTGTCCACAGAGGTGTAGGAGGTGCCGTCAGCTGTGTAAACCACCTGCTGTGCGGGGCCGCGCTCCTGTTCGTCACTGTACATGATCTGGGCCACTGCCCCACCCTCGGGGACAAAGTGCACCTGGGGAACAAACAGATCCTGGACTCGCACCAACACAGGCCAGTGGGACACAGAACCAGAGTCACGGGGTGCCTTGGAAAGCAGAGAGAACTTGTGTCCCAACTAATCGGAATGCAGAAAAACATACATTTCAAATCTCACTCAATTATTCTACCAATAGAAATCTGGACACAACTCCCATCAGTCTCTGGTTTTACTCTGCATTGCAACTCAAGACGTAACTGCTACAAAGAGCACCCATCCACACTTGGTTCTTGCATGATACTTTAAAAATTTTTAAGGGAAAAAGTTCAAATATGAACAGATGTATCTATTAAATTTATTGGGATATTGTTTTCCTTTATGCTCATATCCCTTTCAGAATTTATGATAATGACTTCATTCAGCCAGTTCTGTAGCTGGAGGTAATTTTTGCTGTCTGATGAGAGGCTAACAGAACTAACTTACTAACTCTGATATTCCTCAAGTTATGGTATTGCAGTTCTCAGAGGCGGCAGTAGGGCATATTAGACTGCTTCTCTGTAGTATGTAGGTGCAGCATCAGTAGAAAATTCAACTATTCAAATGGTCAAACCTATACCTGAAAATATTAAGCACAGATTCCACGGACTACTGGAACTAGTTATGTCTAGGGCACCACTTTAAATTTAAACAAGTCAATTTTACCAGTATATTATGATCATAACTGATGATCAGTGGCCTGTATTAAATGAGCCAGAATACTGGATTCCAGTGAAAACAGGAACATGTTTAGCTTTTGCCATCCTTAATATCCTGCAAAGCATTTTCAGTGAATGGGAAAAACAGGACAGTGAGCAGGAAACCTAGTTTGAGTACAAGTATTCATAGTCACATACAATTCTTTCACATAAAATGATGCTACAGTTACATATTTTATCTTGTTTCACTTTTTAGCTTATGCTTCAGAAGACACCTGGTACTCTCCTGTGGATGCTCAGTGCTGATTCTGTACAATAAATCCTCTCACAAACACTACATTTGGAGAGCACTCTGCAAATACTCCTTAAACCTTTAAACTGCCATATTTTTCACTAAGTCTTAAAACTGCAAACAGCAGCATGGTTATCCCATTGTAGAGAGAAGGGGACACAGACCATTGAAAACCACCTTTCTTTGAAAATTTCAAAGCTGGAAATTACTAAGAGAGGCAGAATTTCTCAGCTTGTGGGTCAAATACCATGCAGCACCCTTTTCTGACCATACTTAAAAGAGTAAATCAATTTGCAGAATTCTGAAAATTCCCAGCTGCGTTGTCTCAGAGGCAGAGAGACAAGCTGCATGCAGCAGAACCTGACTGTATTAGTCACAATTAACATTTCTCCCTTCCTTACTACCCAGATGTCTGGCTGGAAAAAAATATTCATATTGCCTTCCCCAAGGTCTACCCACAGTTCCAGCTGATTCGAATGATGCCATCAAAAGCGGCTGCCATAGAACACAGATTTTGTTCATGTTCATTACTCTCCCACATAAATATATTTGTACACTGAAACTCCTACAGCCACTGCCTGGTTTTGTTCAGCTCATTTCAGAGCTCTGTGTCTCCACTGCTGCAATTTGCATTGCTCGGTTTCTGAAGCTTTAACCCCCAATCACCACAGAAATGTTTGCATTTCTGCTCAAATGAAAGCTGAGCTTCTAGACTCTAAATCAGGGCCAAATGGAAACTAACTCTCCCACCAATCCCAATAGAGCCCAAGCAGAGGCAGAGCTCTGGTTAATCACCTGAGCACTGTTCTGTTCCTGTGCTGCAGACTCAGTCCACACCTGAGGACTTTCCTCTTTCAAGTCCATCTCCTCCCTGCCTGAGTGCTCCATGAGGAGAAAGAGATCTACTGGAGGAATGTCTGGCTGAAGGGATTCATCTGTTCAATGTGTTTCTGCTTCCAGAAGACAAGGTGATCTTCAGCAACATGGCTCTAAAAAAAACAGAACAGAGACATTAAAACCAGCATGACACATGGCACAGAGCTATGAGGGATTTATTATTATCAGCTACTACACTTCAGTAATATAGAGTAAAGTAGGTTTGGCTTTACAAACACTTCCTACAAGACCCAAACACCTTACATCATGGGAATAAGGGAACAGAAAACTTATCTCACTGAGTATGGACAAGTCCTCTGCTTGCCACTATCCACGTCCCATTAAGGAGGAAACAAATCAACCATTTCACCAATTGCAATGAAAGAGTGAATTCTTCCTGCATGTCTTTCCTTGGCCACAGGCTATCCATACCACATTCTCCTTATTGTCCTTCTGGTACCTACAGGCCTGGAAATCAATAAATAATGCAAAAAATGGACCTGAGGCTTCCGACAAGAAAACACTATGTTCAGACTTGCATCACCAGTTCCTCAGTTTGCCTGAATGAGGTTTTGTTTGAGCACCAACTGGTTTTCCATGTACAGACAGATTTGACCTTGGACAAAACCCCAGACCAGGTTAGTACAGTGTTGGGGGTTAGGTGTCCTTCCTTTTGTTCCTTCTCAGCTATGGAATTTTTACCCATCAGTATCAGGAAAATCTGACTGCTGCTACTTGAGAAACTGTGCTTGAGAAACACAGTTCAGCTGGGGGGAGGTGAGGGGAAGGGAAGCAGGAAAAAGAGAGGGCAGGGGCAGCTGGAGGCTGGCTGCTTTCTTGGGCTGAAGAGCAAGACACTCTCTCAGAGCTGCTGTGGTCTTGAGAGAAGGGAATTCATCATCACCCAGACGGAGCTGCTGCTTCTTCCTCTTTCTTCGTGGGCCTCGCACCCCCTGTCCTGCCGGGACATGCGGCAGTGCCAGCCACCGCCGCAGAGCTGCTGATCCACCTCAGCCACCGGGCTGGGATCTCAGCTCATCCCTGCTGTTCCAGCTGAGTGTTCATCACAGAGCCCTGCAGGAGCACCGGCACTGCCCGCCCGAGGGGGTTTGTGAAGCAAAGCCTCTCCTCCATCCCTTCCCGACTGGGCCAAGAAGGCTGTCACGGGCTCCCTGGTTCTGTTTTTAATGCTGTAGTTATTGTTGTTCATTTGCCTTGTTATACATCCTAGTAAAGAACTGTTATTTCTATCCCTAGATCTCTGTCTGAGAGCCCCTTGATTTCAAAATTCAGAGGGAGGGGGTTTATATTTTTCATTCCAAGGGAGGCTCCTGCTCTCCCTAGCAGACACCTGTCTTCCAAACTGAGACAAATAGTCAACTACTAAAAATGAACAATGTAACTTGAACTCTCAAAAGATCCTAACAAACCGCTTCCAAGTTTGATTTTATTCACCTCTTGCAATTTTATTGGGGTCTTTCAATCTGTCTTTGTGATCCCAGAAGGGTAACTTACAGCTCTGGTGATTGGTTAAGTCCGTGGTTCAGCACCTCCCCAATCCTTCATCTCTAATTAGTCATATTAAATCACAGACCATGAATTAGCATGAGGCTGAGCCCATTTCATTTCTCAGCTGCTCCAATTAACTTTATTTTATATCCAGTGCCTTGCTGCACTGCTCCAATGCCAGCACCCATCTGTGCACCAGGAAGGAAGCAGAAGGCTCCTTGCTGACGCTTTCATTCATTTGCATTTTAAATGCAAATTATTTTAGTCATAATTTATCCCTATAAATGCTAGCATTTGGCCTTGTCATTGACAAACTGACAAATAGATTAGGAGAGGTAAAAAAAGCAGCAAGCACTTTCTGTCTCCTCCTAATTTTGCCTGCAAAGACTCAGCTGTGCTGACCTGAGCACTGACTGTTCCACTGGGCCTGGCCAATTGGATACATCACCAGGGCAGGAAAGTCTCAGGCTAACAACACTGAACTGTGTGGTGGAGCAAAAAATCATATTACTTTCATATATACAAAGAAAAAGAGTGGGAAAGATATTTCTGGGCATTGCTAGACACCAAGTCATGCTGTTACTGGTGACTGGAGTTAACACTTGCTGTCTCATGTTGAGCAATGCAGCAGCCGTGGGCCCCACAAAGGCAGACACTGGGGAAGTGTTCTGACTTTCTCTTATATCCAAACATCTCTAGTTATGGGAATGCAGGGACAGAAATCTCATCTCCATTAATATTGCTTGATACAAACCATCCCCAAAAAGCACTTAGGAGAAAAATTAAAAAGAAATCCATGTACCAGAATTCAATGCGTGAGTTTAGTACCACCAAATTAACTGCAGCACACTTGTTCTCCAAGTGTGGAAAGCCAGGGCAATTTACAGATAAATATCATTTATTTATATATCCAAGTGTACACATGCTCTGATCTATAAATAAATATCATCCATCCCTACACAGAACCTTTTTCCTAGCTACTTGTTATGTTGCTATGGATTAAATTAGGGATTTTCTTGTATCTAATCCTACCTCATTCACTGATCTCCTTCACTCATTTTATCAAGTATATATTCTCTATTCAGAATATATAAATATATACATATATCAGGTACATGATTACCTCTACTCATGCAAAACATGACAGCGTTTAGGTCAGTAACATACTGTGAACAACTTCTTTGCAAAATTTAACACCTATCCTGTTGAAATTCTTCAGCTGGTTTATCCACAACAGCTCTTTTCCTAGACTGCCAGTATTAATCAAGAGCAAATTCAGGTAATTGCACTAACAGTAGCTAGTAGTTTAATCAATTACCTAACTGATTAGAAAACTAAAAAAAAAAACAAACATTGGAGGTTTCCATTTGGGGTGGTTTGATTTTTTTTTAAAAAATATAATTACCCTGTTAAAAAGAATGCAATTACATTAACTACTAATTGAATTAAGGGAAAGGCACAGTTCTGGCTAACTCCACATGGTGCAACAAGTAGCAGAATTTTTGGCTGACCTTCCCCACCAGCAGACACTGGAGGTCTGAAGGAAGATGCTGACGCACTCCTGCAGAGTCATTTTGGCACAGATAACTTACAACTTGAGTACAAAGGAGACCGAAGGGTTCAGGCAGGGTCTTTAAAAGACAAAACTGGGTATTAAGATTCATCTCTGAAAAATGAAGTACCAAGAAGTTGGAAAGAAAAGCAGATGACAGTCATTTTATGGCTCTGAAAGTTAGCACTAACTTAAAATCTTGGGGGAAAAAAAAAGCAAGGCTGAGCCAGATTCAGTGGCCCACTGCTGCAGATTCTATAACCAGTCCAGTTATTGCTGCTCTTAACAGAAATGAAAATAACAAACAGCTCAGCCCAGCCAATTGTGCAGTAGCAAGGAACAATAGTAGAAACTGCAGGATTTGCTGATGCTTTCAACTTCTGTACTTCCAAATTCATCCTAGGATCTGCCTCTGGCATGCATTCCCTCAGTTCATCTGTAATCATGAAAACACACTAAAAAGCACATTTCCCTGGAAACATGGATGTGCTGAGAGCAAAGACAATGCAGAAGCAGACAGGCTGTGTCCCAGAGAGGTCCCAGGGACAGGCAATAAAGAGGGCGGGAGACAGGAGCAGGTGTTGAAATTCAGCTGTGAAACAAGCCCTGCAGTCAAGGCCAGGAGCTGGAAAAATCTTATCCAAAGTCACTGACAATAGAACTACCACAAAACACCAACACCTGAGGAAGTTTTCTGACACTGATGACGAGAAGAGCAAACCGACTTTGCTCACTGGTCCTCCATAGGATGCTCCTCCTCATTAATCCTGCTCTCAATACCCATTACAGCCCTGAGACTGACTGCCACAATGTCTCAAAATTTTAACTGTTTCCCTGTGGTCTTCTCTTAGCTCTGGTAGTTTTTTAGCAGAAATAAATGTGAAACTTTGGACGTAAGCATTGACATATCACTGGCATGCAGGGAGCGCTCCCTGCTTGCTCTCTACACTGTTTGCCCATGGATTATCCTTTGCAACTGTTGATTTTTCTCACCGTATTGAACACATCAGACATTTTCAGACAAGCTAAACAAACACCAAGACATGCACCTCAACAGGAAGCTCTTCTATATCCAAGGAATTACCATAAAACTGTGTAACAGAAATTGAAACTCAATTGCAGAAATTCTAAAAGAAAAAATGATAATTAAAGATAAAAGGCATTGTGATAGGATAAACAGCTTTTTCTCGGTATGAAGTAAGCTACATTCTGTAATAAAAATCCATGTAAAAGTTTAGTAAAACAGAAATCCAAACAGCTTGCTTAAACTCATGCTAATGTACATGTTAGATATGTCTCTATTATATTCTGTCCATTATAAAATATAAGAGGCCTGGCTCAAATATTATTCAATATACCATCTTTTTTGGGTTTCTTTTTGGGTTTTTTTTGTTGTTGTTTTTTGTTGGTTTCTTTGTATGCTCACAGCAAATACTTCAGTAACTTGAAGATGATGAGATTTTACTTTTCTGTAAATTGAAAGATTAGTCAATTATGATACATCGCCCAATAGTCACCCAAAATTCTGCCAGCAGCCCAATGCTTTCATACAACCCAGTGAGCATCACAAACATGAGCAAGAAGCAATGCCAGTGTTAAGGCATTTACAGTAACTGCAGACACAGTATTTTCCTCTCCAAACAACAGGCATGCCTCACCCTGTCCATGCTGAGTGATGACACAAGCTGAAACAGTAACAGGCATAACTAAAGAGTACGAATATAATCCATTACCACTCCAGCATGACAGTGGTGAGGCAGTGACAGACCTGTGTGTTGCTATATATTGCACGAATCACGACACAACGCGATACAAGAACAAGCACAGCACCTGTGACTTTGGAATATCTTCTCTAGTGGAACGTTAGCTCATTCTGAGCTGCCCAAGTAAATTAACCATGCCTTCAGGACAACTATCACATTTACCTTCCTTTTCTCAACACCACCTGGGACCTGCTGCTGTCATAGGCCTACAGCCATCTCTCTTTCATTTTCACATTTGACATCCAATGCAGAAAATACCATTGATGACAAAACTTCTCTGCTGCTCCTGATGCCTGGAAAGCACCTCGGTGTCATTGTCTGACAGTTCTTCATTTACTTTGGAAATCTCGGTTAAAACCTCCTTTTGACCTCTGCAACATTCTCCAAGTCCTTCCTGCTCTTCCTGCGGGATGGCGTTTTCTCTGGAGCTGTGTTATTAAACCAGCAGCTTCCCTGTGCACTGCATTCAGCTCCAGAGTATGAGAAAGCACTACTCAGAGGGGCAAAGCACCTCATTGCCTATCCAACAGCAATATCCTTGTTAGCTTTGCTGCCTCAGCATTAGACACCCTGAGCCAGCACAACTCCACATGTGGCCCCTCACAGGTTCGTCCATGATCCCCCCACAAACACTCAGGAGTGAATGGTGCTGTAAGAGAAAACCACAAACAGCAAAGTCACTGTTGGTTTGTGTTTGATGTCTAAGTGTTCTAAACACAAGTTAAACCCAGTGAACTCTTCTAGGGTTCAAAGGTAGGCTCTGAAAGTCAGAAAAAAGCACCACAAAAAAATTGTAATCAACAATAACCGTATTTTCTTGGCAAACCTGCTATTAAAGAATGACAATTTCTTTCAATGCTGCTATACAAGAAGATACAGAGACAGAATCTCTGGGGACTTCATCTGCAGCAACCTCTGTGAGCCTCACTAAGGGCATTCTGCTAAAAAATCCAAGCCAGTGGCTGCCAAACTATCATTTTTGTCTCTTCTCTGGGATGAGAAAGGAGGAATATTTAAGCTGAGCAAAGGTGAAAAGACCACCTCCCTGCTCAGGGAACAATAAAGCCACTCAGTATCTCAAATGAGAACCCCCACTTCACAATAATAGTGCATAAACTGGCTAATGTGATTTAATCCCCAGTGTAAAAGAGCCTTGCCATAGTCTGAGGCTCTCTGCAGCAATAACAGCAGGGACTATTGGCTTAATCCTCCCACGGCTGAGCTCACTGACAACTGTGTGTCACCCCAGCCATGTGCAAGGGCAGCAAGATTGGTACAAAAGGGGTTTTACAACTCTGAGTCTTCCTCCAGTTCTTAATATGAAAATTATTTATTATGCTCAAAAGGAACATCACATGTGCCTGCAAAAAACTTTCTCTCACACTTAATTATTCCAGTTTGCCTAGAAGGCAGAGCCAGTGCATTTCCTGAGATCCTTTAGCAGGAACATGCTTTCATTACAGCAAAAAGGTTTCTAACCTCATTGAGGACCGGTCAATCTTCTCTGCATTTCCATCCATCACAGGCACATACTGTTTCAAGGAACTCTGGCCCTGGTGCATTTTGCATGAATGTTATCAATCAGGTCATGCACAACCACAATAATTTATGTTTTACTGGCGAGTTAAAAATGGAAATCATAATAGGGCTGGGACAGCAAGAATTATTTCCACAAAGGGAAAAATGGCTTCAATTTATTTTGTCCTAGTATAAATAGAAGATCTCAGCCAAACACCAACTCACTCTTTACTGCCATTGTGCATAATGAATCTATATCCACATCCTCATGGGACATCCATCATTAAAGCAACAGTGAACTGGAAGAGATCTCTTAGACAAAGGCCAGTCCTCTGCTGCTGTGCCTATCACGTTACAGTCCTTTTCCTAAAGGGACATTGCCCAGGCACCAAAAGTGACAACACAACAGTCTAATATAACTATTCTCTCACAAGTTATCAGATAAGTAACTGAAAATCCATTTCTACCACAGAATACAGGAGAAAATCCAGTCTGAGCACAGGTTAACATCCTCCTGGGGACTACCTAGGCTGGGTTTAGACACCTACTCAGAGATGCTCCAAGGACATCTCTCTTGTGTCCTAATTCTTGTATAATAAAGTGTTTCTTACACTGTCCTCTCCCTCTGTGGGCAAAGAGTCAACTTCATTACTTTCTACATATGCAAATCTCTTCTTTAGTCACCGCTCTTCCCATTTGCTCAATATCTAAATATCCACTCCAGCAAATGGAGTTCTTCCTCCCACCCTCAGCTTTGGGAATCTATGGCCATGTTCCTCACGTTGTCGTCTTCCCAATGTTTTATCCTCTGAAGCCCCTGTGATATCATGGGCTGTTGAATTACATACTGCTGTTTTTGGACTCCAGCTGCTCAAGGCAGTGATCCTGTCTTCCTAAAGGACTTGGTTTATAAATCACAGAGAGAAGTCTGATAAAGCAAGGAACCAAGAAAAACATGCATTTAAACTACAAGATGACACAAAAGGAAAATAAATGTCTGTATCAGTGTCTTCTACAGTTCTGTCCACACAACCTTTGAGATGGCTCTGTTAGGGGTTACTGAAAGAAAACAAACCATTTCCCTCCAGCTTCTTCCTGCTAATTTTTTGTCTCCCATCTCTTCTCCTCCTCCAGCAAACTCTTCCCAAAAGAACTGTCAGCTGGAGGGGATTCCTTCCCTTCCTACAAGTGGGCAGTGCTGCTTCTTCTCTCCTTCTCCCACCCACCCCGCATCTCTCCTCTGAATTTTTATCTGTTGTAAAATTCAAAAAATAAAATTACCTTTTTCTGCACATAAAAATACATACCTAAAGTGTCTCCTTCAGAATAGCTGCTGCTCTGCGCTACCCCAGAGAACAAACGGACTACCTGCACCTTCAAATAGGTGGGGACTGACATATAGATCCATTTCAGGGCTACGATAGAACAGCTGCATGTTTTACTAGCACGAGATAAAAATGACAAATAGAGCCAATCGCATGTTCAAGTCCAAACAAAATTCACCACACAAAACCAGCCTCCTTAATTAGATACACTTAGAAGTCCATTAGAATTCAGTGTACACAGCTGCCAGCAGCTGCAGGTGCTCAGGAACACACTCGAAGTGGCTGCTCACTGCAGAGAAACTTACCTCAAGAGAGCTCATCCAAGAATTTTCTGCAAAGGGTAGAACGAAGGGTGCCAGAGGAGAGCAGACAATACTACAGACCCATTTTACTCTAAAATCAAACTGTAAATTATTCTATCAGATGATATTAATAATTACACAGATATTTCATCCTATAAACAAAGTAATAAAGCTGTCTCTTTTCACACAAGAGAAGCATCCATGTAGCAAAATGCCAAAAATGGTCACAATTTCAGAAAGAAGTTTTCCATTTCAGAAAGAAGCTCCTGTATTACTTTTCCTAGAAATAAAGGTTTTAGCAGGCTCAATTATTGAAATTAATTATTAATTAAAACTGCCAATTATTTTATTGCATCCACAAAAGATGCAAAGAATTCTCTTCTAAAATCAGTTGGTGATTCATTAGCATCTCATCTTCTAACTGAACTACAAGAAAGAAAATAACTGAATTACTAAAAATCTGACAGAAGAAAGTGAAAGTTCCGTATAGTCTCTACTCCCATTGAAACACACAGGGCAACACTGGTAGGCATTTTACACACTCAGCTTTGAACTTGATCATTCTTTAAAGACCTGTAAGAACCGTAAGTATATAGAGTGATACACTAGACAAGGTTGATACCAAAGTACTAAAAAGTGCATGGCAAATACCAACCCTTCATTTCTCTGTCAGGACTGTGACTACCGTGAGTAGCCTAAACCAAGTTTAAATTTTAATTTAGGGACCCTGTAACACCCCTCCTGAGGCTCTGCAATGTACAGCTGAGAGGTAAAAGGTGACCACACATAGCTCTTGTACAGGGAAATAAAAAAGTGAATTATCCCTTTAGGATGAGTAATTTTGAAAGGCATAGATTCAGGACCTCGTTCTTCCATTCTAACTCAACCATTTAACAAACTCACATCAACTCACTTTTAATGGAACCGGGGCACAGGAGAGGAAACGGGATAACTGAACACCAACACCCACAGAGCAAGAGAGCCACAAGATCCAGCATCCACTTGCTACAACCACACCCAAGACCACAGGAACAGGGTTTTTGGCACCAAGACCACTGTCAGGAGAACAGTGAACCCCACAGCTTCCACGTGCAGCAACTGCTGCTAACTCACACTAGGACCCTCATGAATGCAACCACCTCAGGAGAGTGGGGAAGGGCCTAACTTCCCACCATACCAAGCCAGGAGCCTTGCCTTGCTAAGGCCACACTGACACCCAAAAAGACCCCTGGGGCAAAAGAACCTCATGAGAACGGGAACCCAAAAACACACCCGGCCACTGCCCCTCACAGGGCAGACTAGAGGATTTCCAGCCACAATCCCTGATAAAGTCTCCACGGCCATCAACAGCCAATCCGAAGACGGGGTGAGACGCCCCCTCCTCTAATTAGGCCAATAGGAGGCAGGGGCGCGAGGCACACGGCCAATCAGCAGGCGTGAGTGCCCCCCCCCCACTCTCACCGCCCGCTCCCGCCGCCGCGCCCCAGTGCGAGGCGACGCTGCGCCCCCCCCATTCGCCCCCGCCTGAGGGCAGCGGCGCTATCAGCCCCTCGTGAGAGCGCCCAGAGGCCAGCTGGCCCCAACCATTGAGGGCCGAGGAGGGACATGGGCAGGCGGCCAGGGCAGAAGCTGAGCGAACGGGCCGGGCCGGTCGCTGAGGGGGAGCTGGGCT